AATTCGTTGTCCCTGAGAACCATTGGCAAGAGTTTCTAGAGGCGCTTGCCACCGACAATCCCATCATCGACGGCTGCGTGCCCTGCCAGAAACTTCTGTCCAAGGTGTTCAAGCTGCAGCAGGATGCCATCGCCCAGGTGGAGCAGGCAGCAGCATCATCCGAGGTGCCGCATGATGAGGAGCCGCCTGATGCTTTGGCCGTGGTGGAGCCCGCAGTGCGATTGTCTGCCACTGAGCAGGCATTTCAGGATCGACTGCAGCAGCTGAAGCTTGAAGAGGGGCTGGTCGGTGCTAAGAAAGGCCGTCGACCGAAAGGCCAGCCGCGGGCACTTCACGAGAGCTTGTTCGAGTGGCTACGCACCAGACGTCCAGATCAGTACGTGAACAAGAAAACAGATAAGCTACATCTGTTGTGCCGCACCTGCGGCGAGACCTTCGCCGCTGTCAGAGACACTACCATCCTGTTTGTGTTACAGCATGAGAGTCGACAAACTCATGTGGACGCAGCCCAGGAAGGGCGGCTGAGGCCCTGCCGCGGGGTGGAAATCACTTCCGGGGCTCCTTTGTGTCGTGCATCTGAGATCAAAGATGCCTTCATCATCTGGGCTACCTTTGACTGCCCTTGGTTCCACACGAACTTCAAGTGCCAGGCTTCGCTGCAGGACGACGGCAGGCTCATGATACAGTCGAGCAAGTGCTTCGAGGATGAGAGGCTCAGGATGTGCAGCCCAGCTCGGCCTTACTGCAAGTCCTGCCTAGGCCTCTGCTCGACAGAGGAGTTCTGCTTGAAAGTCAGCACATGGTGCTTCAGGATAGTGCTCTGCAAGATGGCTCAGGCAACATTCCTGAACAACCAGTCGCTCCGCACGGAAGCGCTCAATATGCTGGACAGCTGCCAGAAGTACTGCCCCCTGGATGCCGCCTTCCTCGAGGAGCAAAGCTATACGTGGCTCTACGACAAGCTGCAGGACATGCTCGCCTCCATCCCCACGGTCTTGCAGAATGCGGCCTGCAAGAAGTTCATCGCCACCCAGTTTGCCTGGCTTCCCCGAAAGCTAGAAGCTGACAAGCCTACGGACGGGAACAAGCAGAAGCTGCTGAGTCATGTGGATCTTCTGTTACAAGCCAGAAAGGCAGCATCCAGCTTGGATCAAAGCCTGTGCCAGCAGATCCTCTCCGGTGCCTTGGATGGCAACGACCTCGCCAGGACCATGATCACCGGCATCCTCAACAAGGCTCAAAGGCTCCGCAGCGGCTACAAGAGGGTGCATGCCTCTGAGTTGCCAGGGGCAGATGAAACACGTGTGGCTGAGCTGGGTAGTGCTCTCAGCAGCTGCACTGGCCAGGAATCCTTGCTTCGACTGTTTGGTTTCGCAGCACCCAAAAAGCCAGCTGTGAGTATCTGGCGAGACGACCTGCCCATGTTCTTCGCCCCCAACCGTGAGGAGCTGCGCCGCAATGCCGAGATTGTGCTGGCAAAGTGGGACACCCAGCATCGGGACTTCATGGTCACCTTCGACGATACGTGCTATTGGCCCCAGTGGAGTCTGCAGATGTTTCCAGAGGGCATGGTTTACATTGGAGGAGCCGGGGAGAAAAGCAAGCTGAGCTGCGAGCAGCACTCGCCTGGAGTGCTCCGGAAGGAGGACTTGAGTCAAACATGTGTCAGCTACTTGTTGAAACGAGCTTCAACGAGGAAGCAACCATACGACATATGTATGATTCCTAAGAGACTGAAGGATGTGACGTGCAAGAGTGTCATGATGCAGACCGGCATCGTCCTTCGGGCAGTCACTGAGGCGGCAAATCTGCCGCCGATCGCCATCGCTTTCGACAATCACAGCAGCCACGGCTCCATGAACTCGTGGTTCCTCGGCCTCCAGCATGTGGACGAGTACAGAGACCTGCCTTGGTTCTCGCAGTGCAAGATACTCCAGCGGGCGAAGCACTTGCCGCTGTACCGCTTCCAGACGATGTCCCTGATGGGGCACCCGGTGTTCGCGCACAACGATGCGCCGCACACGCAAAAGTGCCTGTGCCGGGGCTTGAGAGTGGCTTCGCGAACTCTGAGGGTGCAGCATCTGGCAGTGCATCCACAGATCATGCTCAATCGCGGACTTCCAGTAGCAGCATGGCGGGGCACGGACTCGCAATCCGATGCCCAGGCAGCATGGATGCTGAACCCGGTTTGCATCGACTCAGCGGAATGGGACTGTCACGGCCTCGTGCTGTTCCAGTATCTGACTGGGTTGTTGTGCGGCAGCTGGATGGCGAGCCATCTGTATGAAGACCCCACCGCTCTCTTCGAGGCAGCACTTGTCGGATACTACATGGTATTGTTCGAGTTGTTTGATTCGAACTGCAGTGAAAAGTGCTTCTTTCACAGCATCACCGTGGGCAACGTCCTGGCCATTGCTGGCCACCTCTGCGAGAGAGTTTTGCGATGGCCACCAGGTCTTCCATTCAGGCCAAGTGCCTCCATGGAAGACAGCTGCGAGCACCACTTCTCGCGGACAAAGGCCGGAGTTTCGCATTCTTTGCCCACGATCCGGGCAGCGCTTCACTCCACGCAACGTCTCCATCGCTCGCAGTCACTGAACATGGCCCCCGCCAACCCCAAGAAGGTGCAGCAGTGGGGTGGCATGGACGAGGAGACAGCCTACAAGTCTGCGACAAAGGCTTTTGATGCAGTCTGCATGCTCCGCTCCGTCTTGTCGATCAACCGCACAGCCGCTGACGAGTCGGCGGCCTTGCGCAACTGGTGGCAGTGCGCTGGCCAACACATCGTCCGCGATCGGCTCAAGGCGACGAATGATGCAAAGCTCGAGGAGCTCGCCCAGGAGGAAGCTCAGTCGGATGCAGAAGATGTGCTCCTCGATGCGGAGGACTTGCCTGAGATGGACGATCCGGGCCTTCACCTGGTGCAAACACTGAGCAGCTTGGAGAAGGAGCAGGAAGTACAGTGCAGCTTCGTCGCAGATGCCGAGGCCGTGGACGCCGTGTCCGAGAAGCTCCCCCTCCCGCCGGCTGCTTCCTCAGTCGCTCCCGCCAGCTTCGTCGAGGAGAATGTCGAGGAGAAGCCCGCGAGCAAGGTGAAGACGTTGTCCCAGATGCTCCAGAGTGCAGGCTATGACAAGTACAAGCCGAGCCCGCATGACGACGAAACCGCAATGCTGAGCCGCCTCACTAACCTCGTGCCAGCGATGATGGACTTCGTCACGCAGATGCGTCTGGGCGAGGCTTTCCTTCGTCCTGGCCAGGTCACGCAACCCAAAAAGCCACTGAGCACCTGGAATCGACTACAGAAGGAGCTGAGCGAAGCCCAGCGGTGCTACGGGCTCCAGGGTACTCGACAGGGCCGGGCAGCTAGCTGGTACGATTTCGCCCGGCTCGTAGCAAACAGAGCCCAAGAAGCAGCTCGAGCCGTGGAGGGCTGCGCACCTGGAGTCAAGATCATGTCCGTGCCGGAGTTTTTCCGACCATCCAATGTCTTAAACGACCAGCTGCAGCGGCACTACCAGCTGCTGGTCGTGAAGCTCCATGCCGTCGACATGTGCCGCATCGCCATCGTGGCCAGAGTCTGGCGGGGGAGCCTGAGCAAGAAGGCCAAGAAGGTTCGGGCAGGCTGCAAGCCTCACGAGGAGGCTTTGGCATCCACCGAGACACTGGCCATGCATGTGATCCTCCCCGAGCCACTGGGACCCGACCATCCGAACACGTTCAGGGCCAGCAGCTGCTCACAGACGGTTTCCCTCTGCCCTCACGAGGAGAAGCCTGACTTGCCTGTGGTTCTTTGCGAGATCGTCGACGGCTGGTTCGCCTGCAAAGCTACCTCCACGGCCCTCCTCATTGAGCTCAGCGATGCAGCTGCTGCTGGCTGGAAGAGTCTGCGGGAGCCGGAGGCTTCAACTGTCCAGCAGGCCGACGGGGAGGGCTTCCACGAAGGAAGCTTTGCAAACAACGATGCTGGCCACCTCAAGATCAGGGGATACATGAATTTGCTGAGATCCATGTACGGCCGAGTGACTGGCAGATCCTTGTGCACCGCTGATGGAAAGATAAAGTCTGTTGAGGGCATGCCGCCCTGGGAGTCCGTGGTGTCGCGAACTCCGATCTACTTTCAGATGGCTTTGAAGTCTGGCGCGAAGACGAAGCTGACGAACAGAGAGTTTTCCTGGAAGGTGGCAGCTCGCTTCAGGGCTGTGGCTCCCGTGACGGAGGCGAACTCGGAGTTCTTTCGCGAGTTTTTGCGCACTGTGCATAAGACCGCAGCTGAGCTGCCACAGGGGTGAGTGGGGAGGTCTATCCTAAGCTCCTATACCTAGGCACTCCTAGCCATGTTCTCGGCGCTAGGGCTTCAAAACTAGGCACAGTAAGGCTCCTTTTGCTCCACTCGCCTTTGAGTGCGCAGCCGACAGCTCGAAGTGCTTGGCAGCTTGTGTCCGCCGGTGAGAAAATGAAGGTCGGCGCCCGTACTGCTGAGAGTTCTGTGCTTGCAATTCCTCTTTTCTTCTCTCTCTTCTCTCTCTCTCTCTCTCTCTCTCTCTCTCTCTCTCTCTCTCTCTCTCTCTCTCTCTCTCTCTCTCTCTCTATATATATATGTATTACTTATGCAATTCCCATACCTCTGAGGCCATCGTTGCATACAGCATGCTTTCAGCTCTCCAGAAAAATCCGACCTAAAATAAACGCTTCGCGGGCCGAAGCAAGACAATTTGTATACAGACCAAGCATATAATTATCGAATTTCATTCCATTCATCGGCATCGGTGTTTGCAGATCCCTGACTCCCCCCCAAAGACCCCTCCAATACATTCCAGACCATGCCGTAATGTATTGCTGGGTGGGCCCGGCGCTTCTAGGGCTGCTAGGGGGGATGAACGAACTATACTCTAGATGCAAGTGAGGACTGTAAGAGGATGTTGCTTAAACTGCCCACTGAGGTCGTCTTCACCTCCGCCTACATCGACACCACCGGCGGCAGTGCTTATGGTGGGCACATGGAGATATTCGACGTGCCAGATGCTCGGAGAGTGGGAGTTTTGTGTTCCAAGTGTTTTCATTTCTGTGCTTTTCTGGCTTGGAATGCAGTTGCGAACCCGTTAACACAGACCGCGAAGCCTGTAATCCCCAGTCCTCGAACCGTCATTGCAGATTAGCTTAATAGCCAGAAAGTTGGAATATGATTATCCTACCCCTTCTATGGTAAATTATAGGGTATCCTACCATGAAGCCATATTCTAACTTTCTGGAGTTCCCTTTAGGTTCGTCTCAGTCTACAGTTCAGGCTGTTCGGATTGAAATGTAGGGTTGTAGCTAACTCTACAGATTTCCGCTGCGCCTACTACATGCTACAGCTTCTAACTACCACTATTACTACTACTGCTACTGCTACTACAATCACCACTACTACTACTACTACTGCTACTACTCCTACTACTCCTACTACTACTCCTACTACTACTACTACTACCACTACTACTACTACTACTACTACTACTACTACTACTACTACCACTACTACCACTACTACCCCTACTACTCCTTCTACTATCACAAATATCATTATTACAACTACTGGACTACTGCAGCCTTGTGATTTGAAGGCCAAGCTTGAAGGCGAACTAAAGCGCCAAACCCTACAATATCCCAAGAACATAAGTAACCCTAAACCCCTAAACCTCTAGAACAATAAACCCTAAACCTCTAAAACACTAATTAAACCCTAGACCCCTAAACCTCTAAATAGCCCTAAACCTCTAATACTCTCAACCCTTAACCCAAACCCCAAGTTCTCAAACTCCAACCCCTATTCAAAGCTTATTCGGACAGATCCCAAGCGCAGGGCCTTGGGCGACATCGGTGGCTCATCGATTGTTGGCGAAGTGGACATGAAGTGCCCCGGGGCCCGCGGGTACCGGATTTGGCTCCACTGTGAATCGAGATCCCAGCAGCAGCAGCACCAGCAGCACCAGCACCAGAGTCCTCATCATGATTATCGTCATCATCATCATCATAGTCGTCATCATGATCATCTTCATGGCCATGGTCATTAAAACCGCCATCGTAGTCATAGTAGTACTACTTGTCATCGTCAACATCATCACCTTCAGCATCGCCATCATCATGACCATCAGAATGCCTGCACCAGCACCATCGCAGTCATGACCATCTGTATCAGTATCACTATCACCACCATCGTCACTGATCACCAGGATCATCGTCCTCCTCCTCCTCCTCGTCCTCCTCGTCCTCCTCCTCCTCCTCCTCCTCCTCCTCCTCCTCCGGCTCCTGCGCATCCGTCTCCGCATCCTACTCGCTCTCCACTTTATCCTCATGTTCACGTGCTCATCGTCATAGCGTCATCACCTGCTCCACTGACGCCATCATCACCGTCATCATATTTCTATTTACATCTACAAATTTGTGTTTCTCCTTGAAACCGGAGCCAGCAGTACGTGCTGCCGAAGGTACACCCAATTCCACAACCTCGGGAAGGGTGCCCTCTCGGCGGCCTCCACCTCAGAATTCTGCAACTATCCCACCTGCTGAAAGCCTAAACCCATAAACCCTTAAACCCCTAAACCCTGAATGCCCTAAACCGTATCAGGCACTGAAGATCGACGCCATAAAAGCTGAGACCTCCACTCCGCCCAGACCTCCTGTAGCCACCTCTTCTGAAAATTGGCTATCCGCCAGTCCGATATGTACACACTCGCACATATCTACATATATATATATATATATGTGTACATATACACACACGTATATATGCATATGCACATATCTATCTATTTATGTAAATACAGAAGCCAAGGTGCATATACATATATGTATATATATATATATATGTATATATGTATACATATGTATATATGTATGCTCATGTAAGCGTTTATTCATATTCAATCTCGTTATATATATATATATAAAGATTACGTAGAGACTCACCGAAACGGTAGTGGCGTAGGAAGAGGGTGGGGCAATCACCAGCTCCACTAAGCCCGGAACCCTGAAATTCAACATAGCATCCCTCTACAGTCCCGATATAACTATCGTATAGTACGACCCGAAAGTCCTATCTCCTGATTGTTACAGCTCCTGTAACATCAACGGGCTTCATTGGGTTTAGGGTATTTTAGGGTTTAGGGTTCAGGGCGTGGGGGGTTTTAGGCTTGCAGCTTTTAGGGTTTAGTGTTCGTGTTTTCAGGTTGGGGTTCAGGGTTCGGAGGTTCGGATCGGTTATCAAAAGACGATCCAAAAGCCTCAAGCCCCAAAGCCACGAAGACTCACAGCAAGAGCTCATGCTTTCAAAAGTCTTCGAGGCCGTGAAAGTGACCTTTGCATCAAGCTTCGACCCTCGGGTTGCACTGGAATTGGAAGGGTTTAGGGTGTAGGGTTTAGGGTTTATGGTTTAGGGTTTATGGTTTAGGCTTTAGGGGTTAGGGTTTCGGGTTTTAGTTTTCTTCTGTGTTTTGTTTTTGGGTGGGAGGGGCTTTGGGATTTGTGTTCGAGGGTTTATGGCCCCAGAGTTCATGGCTTTAGTCCTTTGAATGTTAAGGGTTAGGATGTTCTTCGTTGCTTGTTGATTGGGTTTTGGCTGTGTTCGTGCTCGCTGGTTCCATTCTACTGTAGCCTTCAAGCATTGACGCTGAAGGGATTTTGGTTGTAGGGGTAGTGGGCTTAGGAGGAATAGCGCTGTACATTCTTCCTCGGGGCTTCTTCTTTCACTTCTAGTACTGTAGTAGATTATTCCTTTCCTCATGTTAAGACGCACGTGTTGCAGGTTTGTGCGTTTGGGCGTGCCAGAGTGTACGGGGTTTTAAACTAGAGCCAATACATGTGGGAGTTTCCGAAAACAAGGGGTACCTTATTTGGGTGTCCTTACCATAAGGATCCTACTAACTATTTAGGGTACTAGATTAGGATCCCCTATTTGCGGAAGCTCCCATGTATTTCTTGGCACGAGGCTGAGGGTGGTTTGGGGTGAATTTGGGGCTCCGGGTTGGGCTGGAGGCATGGTTTCGAGATGTGTTGAGGTATGGGGGTATCCGAAAATTAGAGGTACCTCATTTTGGGGTCCGGTCCTTAGATTAAGGATCCTACTATTTAGGATGCCATATGAGGATCCCCTATTTTTGGACACTTCTGTGTTGGTTTCTTGTAGCATTTACTCACTCTGGGTAAGCATGGGTCCGTGTCTGCAGCCCCCAAAGGTTTAAATCGCAATCCCTGAGCACTGTGAAACCTGTGCCTGCTGCTTTCGCACTGAAGAGCTTATCAAACTAAAGTAAGGGGCCTTAATCATTAGAGTTGGGTTTTTAATTTTAACGCTACGCCGCCCGCCTCGGCTCTGTAGTGGCAGGGCGAGGGTCCCGGCTTATTGTATAGCCTCTGGTCAGAGTCGAGCAAGAATAGAAGGCACCTGTGAAATGCTTGAGTCAGAGCTTGGTGCGAAAGTTGCGGGGTTGTAGGCGCGGAGCTTTAAGGAAAGTAAGAGATTCCAGACGAGCTCGAAGCGAACCCTTCATCCGCGCTCTGGACGTGGTCGTGGACCCGGTCGAGTTGGGGGAGGGGGCGGGAAAGGGGGGGGGGGGGGGGGGTGAAACCATAAACCTCTAAAGGGGTAGCTCTAACAGGTACCTACAGCAATGGCTGCATGCTCATACATATACATTCCGCTGCCCATTGGCTCACAGTGGTTTTACCATATTGAGACAAGACAAGCTCTCCTTGCGTAGCAAGACAAAACAACTACTGTCCGTGTGCAGGGCGCTGCCCTTTGATCCTTAGGGAATAACTGGTCATACACCTCCTCACAAGGAGTATCCCTTGGGGGTGTATCGGCACAGTTTTCTGGTAGCGGAGCCCGGAAAGGGCCGCCCGCCTCACAAAGTCCGCTACAGCGGTCGGCCTCGCCGAACGCTTAACCAAGCGGATAAGAGGCAGCACAATGTCGAGCTCGCATAGCGAAGCCGACGGCAGTTCCCAATCCTCCGGGGGATATGAGAACGAAGAGACCTCCCAAGGTCCAGCTACTTATGTCGCACAGTCATATGCAACATCTGACCGCATGCTTGCATCATTAGGCATAACGCCCAAGATCGCGCCTGCCTATGATGGCACCACCTCGTGGTTTGAGTATGAACAGTTGATTGACGACTGGTGCGACATAACAACGCTGGATGACACCAAAAGAGGTCCGTCTCTCAAGACGAGGCTCTCCGGATTGGCCGCAGTACAAAAGGAATCACTGAACCGAGAAAGGCTTGCAGCCCCAGATGGAGTAGATTACTTCAAGAAGAAGATGCGTCCATTTTTCGTGAAAGGAGAACAGTACGTTTTCCTGTGGCGTTTCCTCGGCCTATTCAAGGCATGGAAGGGCAACCAAGACTTTGTGACTTGGATTGCTAAGTTTGAGATCGTGCTACAGCGCGTGAGAAACTCATGGATGGATCTCTTACCAGAGATAGCTCTGGAAGATGCCCATCCGGATTTCATGCAGGCTGTGCAGGCAGATCAAACCTTCTTGCGCCTACAGGATGCAACCGAGAGAGACACATACGCCGCACGTTTCTTCGAAACATGGAACAAGGAACGCCTTGATAATCATCGAAGAGCGTTTCCTCTAAATGATAATCTCCTAGCTCTCCTCTTCCTAGTGCAGTCCGACCTAAATGAGATGCAACGTGAGAGGTTGGTAACAGCATTGACCAACCAAGGTTACCGAATTGAGACCTACACGTACCCTATAGTACGGCAGACCATGTTCGATCAGTTCTCAACGACCAGAACTGGTCTGCAGGATCCCAATATTCGGCACACTTCTCACAAGAAGGACCGCCATGGAAGGAGAGATCAACGCCGCAAACGCGGAGGTCGAAACTTCCTCATCCTCGATCAGGGTGAATACGACGGAGTCGATGGATTCTGGCTCCAAGACGAAGACACCCTTGAGGAAGGCTTTCTTGCCGCCGAGGATGAAGAAGCTGTCTTCTGGACAGTTGACGACCATGAAGCCTTCGTTGCAAGGAGATTCAAAAAGGGAAGAAGACCAAGAATGCGTCCCGGATCACCGGGAAGAGCAAAGGGTGGCAAGCGAAAAGGACGTGGCCGTTTTAGGTCATACCGCGGAAAAGGGAGAGCCAACCAGGCAGAACATGATCCAACTGATTCCAGCTATTTCGGTAAAGGTAAAGGAAAAGAAAAAGGAAAAGGTGGAAAAGGCAAAGGAAAAGGAAAGGACAAAGGAGATAAAGGAAGCTCCTTCAAGGGTACAAAATCAAAAGGCAAAGGTAAGGATACAGCTAAGTCTGCCTCCTTACAAGGAGACCAAACTGGATCTCCACAGGCCTATGAAAGTTCCACCGCACCGAGCTGGGATTCATGGTATGAGGACAGTTATTATACTGACTCCAGTTGGAATTATGCCGCTTATGACGATCAAACGTCTTATACATACTATGCATCACAAGCCTCACGAAGAAAGACACGGAAAAAGAAGAGAAGAAATCAAGCAGGATCATCAGGTAGAGGCACAGATCCGAGCGCGCACCAAGAACCCGTGTACAACTCATCAGTGAGTTACGTGCCCCAGGTCTCTGGACCATGCGAGGGGCAAGGTGTGGAGACTGCAACAGCAGTGTTTCCGTTGCAGCACACCGTCCTATCTGCTCTCACAGAGCGGATCAATCTTGATAAGAGCCCTACCTTTGTCATACTTGACTCTGGTTGTACTAGGGCTATGGGTTCCCGCTATGCGGTGAACAGGCTTATCAAGGCCGTGAAGCAACATGCCCCAGGCATGATTGATTTCACTTTTTCACCTTCGAACACGAAGTTCTCTTTCGCAGATAGTGAAACAGCTCTTATCAAGGAGCGTGTAACTCTATGGTTTAACACAACTCCAAGAAGAGATACAACCATAGAAGTTTTGGATCAGGGAAGAGTCCCCATTTTGTTTTCCATCGAACAGATGAGGAATTTAAGAATGACCCTCGAGTGTAGTCCAACAGCTGACCTAGCAACGTGTGAAGCTTTCGGTTTGTATAAAACCCCTCTTCCGATTAGTACCAATAACCATTTGGTATTGGACCTTCTAGGCTTTACTTCCACCAGGAAGTACCTCCCTAAGTCAGGTACGTCGTTCAGTGCGACGGAGACTGCTCTAGGAGCCAATAAGCCTTATGTTAGGATACCGGAAGGTCGCTGTCCAGCCTGTGCCGGACAGAAAAAGGCTCACACGTACCTCAAGGGTTGTGACAAAGCACCTGAGGGAGCAGCTGATCCACCACCGAAGAGGATTTCAGGGAAAAAGAAGCCTCTTCCATCTGATCCGGCAGAATCATCTGCCAAGAAACTTGATCCACCAGAATCATCTGGTGATGTTCCTGAGCCTTCCGGACCATCGGAACCATCATCAGGTTCTAGGGACAAACCTGCAGAATCCTCTGCACCACATGAACCTCCAGAAGAAGAAAGACTTGAGGTTCCACCTGCGAAGATAAAGACTCCAAAGGGTCTCAAAAACCTTCTGAAGAAATCCCGCAAATATGCGGTTAAATCTCCTGTTGAAGAGAAGTCTAAGGTCCCAGGAGCTGATGACGGGACGGAGGTAAGACCACTTGAGTCAAGAGAATACCCGGCTCCTGGTACAGACTCACCTACAGGTGAAGAGATTGTCGCAGAACCATCGCCATCTCTTCCCATTGCTCTTCGCAGGATTCATGAGAAGCTTAAGGACCCTGTAGAACTCTATAAGCTTCACCTTAAGCACCGTCATATGAGTACGGATCAGTTCAAGCGACGCACAAAGGCCTTACAGATCCCAAAGGAGATCTATGAGCTATATGACCAACTGGTCAAAAAGTGTTCAGCCTGCCAGGAACATGTGAGAGCTCCTTCAAGAGCGAAGATTTCTGGTTTAAGATCAGAGACTTTCGGTGATCTCACCTTCGTAGATCACGGTGAGCTTCCAATTCCCGGCAAGGATAGTCGCTTAGTATTTCTTATTCTCTATGATGGAGCAACAAACTTGTTGACTGCCGAAGTAGTCCAGGATAAAGAAGAACATACTACAATGTCGATTATGAATGACTACTTTGAGAAATTTCAGATCAACCCAAAGGTTGTAGTTGGAGATCAAGCATTCATGACTCCAAAAATGGAGGCTTATTACAATCGGCAGAATATCAAGCCTGTGGCAACAGGACCTGGAACACCATGGCCCAACAGGGCCGAAGCTGCTGTAAGATTGCTGAAGCATCAGATTAAGCTCATACTTCAGATCCTGAAGGATGGTGACCCGCAGTATAACGGAATCACCATGAAGTATGGCAACCTCGTTCGCCAAGCA